ATTCTCTTGAAGGGAAAGAATTTTTACCTGCTTGTGAAGCACAATCTATTGGTGACAAATGCCTTCAATTTTTCGGTTTGTCTGAGAATGTATTTCTCCTTCCCTTCTGAAGAATAATTTCACTGAATATAGAATTCTAGGTTGGTGATTTTTATTTCACAATTTTAAATATTATATCCACTGTTCTTGATTACATGATTTATGGAAGGGAGGTGAGTGATATAATTCTTATCATTGTTCTCTATAGATAAGGGTGTTTTCTTCCCCTTTGCTTTTCCAGAGTTTCTCTTTTGCTCTTGGTGTTCTGCAATTTGAGATATGAGGCGTCCGGTAGTCGTTTTTTGGGGTAGTAAGGGGGTATGGGGGGGGAGTAGGGAATTTCCATTCCCCCAGGTTGGCTGGGCTCCAGTAAAATATTAAATAGTTTCCTTTCTGTGCAGGCCTTTGTGAAGGAGCAAATGCTCCGGGAGTATTTAAAAATGACTACTTTTCCCCTGCCCCTGAGAGAAGGAAGAGATTTTTCTTATCTCTTCACTGTGAGAACCTGGCAGGGCTCCTCACGGTTAAACTTACAACAGTGCATGGGCTTTTCCACGGCTGGGTCTTCAGGAGATTTTCTCTCTCAAACGAGTGCACACTTAATTCTAACAACCAGTCAATTGCCCTTTGAACATTACTATCTGATGCTGGTTACAGTGGTGGGTTCTGAGTGGTCCTGCTGTGGGTAAGCTCTGAGTCTCAGGATCTGCCTGCCTCCAGTTTTCAGGCCAGTGACCTCAATTCTCTGATGGCTCTAGAGTTGTCAACTGTTAATTTGTCAGCTTTTTTTTTTTTTCCTGTGAGGACAGGAGTCATGATGCCTAAGTTCTTCATGTGTCAGAGGTTAAACTACTTTTTGAAAGAAATCTTTTTGCATATTTTTGATTATTTACTTACTGAAGTTAACTGCATCAATGCAGGTATTTTTAAGGTTTTTGATACAAATTGCCAAACTTCCCTCCAAAGAAGCTGTACTAAAACAATCTAAACATATTTTTACCACCTTATTTTCCTGCTCACAAACTTTCAATGATCCCCTGCTGATTCAGGATGAAGTCTACCCATTCCTCCCAAATACACATTCATCTGGTGGTTGAATAGGCTCACTGAAATCTTCTATATAATCTGACCCTTATTTGTTTTTCAATTTTATCTCTCACTATTGCCCAAAGTAATCTTTTGGTTTTAGTGATTGGTGAACTTATTGTCTCTAGAGTACAGCATGATCATTTTGTTTTTGTTCAAGTCATCCCTGAATACTCATAATGCCTTCCCAAGTCCTCTCAGTCTCTTCCAATTCAATCTGTACTTCTCTACTGTTCACCTTGCCCTCGTCCACTTGAGCTGTTGCACATATAGCTATTTATAGGGAGTACTCCAGCATACCTTCGAAGGTGTCAGGAAGCCAAGAAGTTTTCATAGACTACTTCTGCAATATGGGCAAAGAGGATGGGGCAAACTCAACTTCTATACAAAGTGAAAAAGACTAGTTTAGGTATATAAAACTAAGAATTTCTGACATGATTTGGAATAAATGTGAGCTGGCTGTTTATCAGAAAATTATGTGATTATAGTCTTTGAATTTTTGCTTATTATATTTTTTCCACATTTTCTCCCTAAGGTATGACTGCATTAAGTTGCTCTCATAACCTATAGTCTTGATTCTTTTTTTTTTTTTTCTCAATTAAAACATTAATACCGCCCAAAATGAATTTGTTCTGGACAAATTAATTATTAACAACATATTACTAGAATTTAAAAACTTAACCTATTCTTTTCTCTGTCTCTTTAGAAAAATCTATATACAAAATAACTATTTCCATGATAGATAAATATAAAATTTAACTACACTTGTGTCATAAGGAATGAAATGTATGGTACAAAAAAGATGATAATAAAAATTAAGAAAAGCTGTTACCAATCCAGAAAAACAGGCTGATTTTCAGCCCTAAAGTCTGATTTTTTAACTTAAAAACTCACGTTTCACTTGCTCGAACATTACTGAAAAGAGGAAGTCTCGTGGTGTCATATAATACTCTCCTTCGTGTTCCAGGGAAGAAAACTGCATGAAACGCTGTTTACGAAGAGACAATTTTTCTATTATTCCAGGGTCAGCATTTTTCTAAAACAAAAAGAAATTAAAATTTTAGAGTTTTTCAGTATTATTTCTTTTTATTTTTGAGACAGAGTCTCACTTTGTTGCCCAGGCTAGAGTGAGTGCCCTGGCATCAGCCTAGCTCATAGCAACCTCAATCTCCTGGGCTCAAGCAATCCTTCTGCCTAAGCCTCCCGAGTAGCTGGGACTACAGGTATGTACCACTATGCCCGGCTAATGTTTTGTATATATATTTTTAGTTGGTCAATTAATTTCTTTCTAGTTTTAGTGGAGACGGAGTCTCGCTCAGGCTGGTTTCGAACTCCTGACCTCGAGCAATCCGTCAGCCTCGGCCTCCCAGTTTCACTATTATTTCTAAACGTAGCCACTTCTAGAATAATTTTATTTTTACTGGAAATTCTATTTATTACCTTCTAATCGAGTAATCTTTAAAGAGTAATTTTCATGTTTAGGTCTGACAACCCTGAAGTTTTAAATCATTCACTTAACAAATATTAACTGAGTACCTACTTTGCACTGTTTTAGGCACTGAAGATATAGCAGTGGATAAGACTAAAGTGAGGAAGTTATCATTCCAGAAAGGGAGAATGACAATTAATAAGTAAATGTATAAAATAATGCAAGATGGTGAGAAGTACCACAAAGAAATATAAAGCAGAATAAGACAGTGATAAGGGGTATATTTTAGATAGGGTAGTCAGGGAAGGTCTTTTTGAAGAGGGAACATTTATGTAGACTAAATGAGGCGGAGTTAGTGAGTCACAGGGCTTTCTGGAGGAAGAGGGTTCTAAACAAGACCAAAGTCCACGGGTGGGAATAAGCTTGGTGTGTTTAAGGAACAGTAGGAAGCCAGTGTTACCAGAGTGACAGAGGAAAGAGGAGAGTGGCAGAGGATAAGATCAGAGAGATAGGCAGGCAACAGATCACACAAAGTTGTGCTTTCATAAAAATATACCACTATTTGACAAAGCTCTACTTTCAGAAATATAAAGTGAGAGAACCATGGGTACAAAGAGATAAAAGAATGGGTAAAATACTGTTAGTGGAAGAGTTAGTATCTCAGGCAGTAGGACCTAGACCTTGACTAACTGCTGGTAGAGACAATAATGAAATTTTTATTGCTAACCTTTCATTGAGCATTCTCTATGTGTTCTAGTTAAGCACCTTACATAGATTATTTAGTTAGTGCTCACAGTAACTCCGAGCAATAGATACCACTACAGTAGACATGGAAACTGAAAAGTAAATGACAGAACCAGGTCTGTCTGACTCAAAGGGTTTTAATCTCTTCACTACCACACCATCTCCTACATAGGACTGGGTGTTGTGGACCAGGCAGACTGGAGGAAAATGACACAGTAGTTACACAGACACCTATGTAAATGCAGGAATCTTGACACAAGAATGTATTTTCTGTGGAATCCAACAGCAGCAGGCTTTCATTTTGGATTGCTTCCCAGAGCACTGCCCTGACTTGGACCCACAGTATCCTTCCTGGACACATCACCTACTTTCATACTTAGTACTGATCCTGCGACTTACCCGGACACACAGGCAGTGTTCAGTGACTGCTGACTTGAATGGAAATGGGCAAAACATGAATATTAGCTGCTAAATCTCTCCAAATCCAAAGCCAGAAACAGATTCTGTTTGGCTGATCTCAGTTCTCTGACTGATATTAATTCTCTACCCTCAAGTAGACAATAGGTTTCCTTGAGCAGTTAGTTTTATACCTCTTTTGTGTTCTGTACAGTGCCTACCAGAGTACTGGACATATACAGAATGCTCCATAATACTGGAATGATTGGTACCCCTATCTTCTCTACATCTTTCCTTTTTTTTTTTCACCTTAAATTAACTACTATAAAAATAACTCAACAGGCATGCTTCAATTATGTAAGTCCATATTCATCCTACTAATCAGAAAACTAAATTATCATTATTATTAATGCTTTCTGAACATTTTATACATGGGGCAATATATACACACATACATAAAAATATCAATAGCTATACATAGCAACATTTAGATCATTTTATTTAAGAAACTGTTACTGAGCATCTGTAGGAAAACAGTGCTAAAAAGGATAAACATAATTTCTATCAGAAAGTATTAAGTGCTTTGGCAATGAATTTACACAAAGTATATGGCTGAGATATGGAAGAGAAGGGGGGTAAGAGTATTCTCAGTGGAGGTTGCAGCATTTACAAAGTCTTGGAGGTGAGAGAATACAGCATATCAGAACTGAAAGAAGCTGAACATGGGCCTATACATCATCAGAGAATTTTTATATTTATTGTACTAATGTTAACATATATAGTATATTAAGAGAATGACAAAATTAAATATACAGAAAAAAAGTATATTCTCAAATTCTTAAATGAATGTTGGCTCTTTCATACTTCCTAATATCTAAGTTGTTTATGACTGGTTAAAAAAGTACTTTGTAACTGACAACTTAATCCTTTTTGTATAAATAAATTAATCTATTTTGTATAAATAAATTAATTCTTCTTTCCAAACCTCAACTAACTAAAAGGGGTCAACTACTCACTCATCCCCCTCCTCTACAGGTCTCATAACAAGATGGACCCTCAACTCTATGTTTCTTCTGGTTTTCATGTTGCCATCTACCTTGGAGCGATCTTATTCCTCCCTGGTCCTAACTAATATTCAACCTCACCAAGAAGTAAAAGCACAAACCTCCCACTCTCTCACAACAAGATATGAAAACTATTTGCAAAGAAATCCTTTTTTTTTTTCTTCTAGGAGGTTCACACTGTCCAAATTCTTCTATCCTATGGTTACCATTTTTTAGATACCTATGTGTGTCTATAATTCACATAGGATAACATTTCTGTAGAGTCTTGAGAAAAGTCAATTTTATTCAGGGAAGTGCCATTTTATTGAGTTGGATGACAGTTTGTCATTCCTTTCAATTTTGGTTAAATATCCTTTCTAGTGAACAAGAAAAGGTAGAGGAGGTAAAACTAAATCGCCCTTTCTTTCACAGGCTCATTTCTGAGCTTAAAGCCATCGTCGAATTGCAGATTATGAATTTAGAAGGTCACTCAAATCTGTCCCACCACCATAACTCCACCAGTATATAGTGTGGTATAAAACCTTCCAACAAATCTTCTATCAACATCCTCCAAACTCAATTTGGTATGGTGGCCTTTCCTTCTTGCTACTCCATGGAATAAATAAACCTATTCTACTACCCCGAAACATTTCAACTCCCACTGCCAGCACTAACAGAGTCTCTCCTTTTCCTAATCCTCTCCACTACTTCTCACACTCTGCTTATTGAGGATTCAACAATCACTTGGAGGTCATCACCACTGTAGATTCTAATCCTACCATTTCCCTTACGAAAGACACAGTGGAACCCCCGCATCACCATCTCTTACTACTAGAGTCTTTCCCTTCAACCTAACCCCCACCTCCTCTGAAGTAAACACTTAATTGAACATTTACTAATTTGAGGATACTTTAGCAAGACAGGAAGAAACAGAACATGTAAGAATGAAGGGGGCAATTGTATAGTAGTAAATACTAACCATACCTAATGTTTATTAAGTATGTAGTATATGTAAGGCAGGGTGCTAAACATCTTTACACACATGTTCCCATTTAACCCTCACAAAACCCCTAATAGTATACAACATTTTTATCATCCTCATTTTACAAAAGAAAAACGTAAGGCTTATCAAGGTTAAACAGCCTGCCTAGATGAACAGAGCAGGTAAGTGATATAGGCAGTACGACATTAACCCCAAAGTCTCAACCACTATCCTAACCCTAGTTCCTGTTAGAATTATAAAAATTAGGAAAACAGAGAAGAGTAGGCTTTAAGTTAGGTTCTAGAGAACAAATAACAAAGAACATAACTAGAATTAGCCATCCTTTAGACCCTGGGCTAAGTGTTGTCCATGTCCTAAATCAATCAAAATTAAAGTAAGTAGGATATACTGATTATGTTTCTTTGCTACAGCAAAATCTATGTAGAGGAGAAAATGTGTTATTCTGAAATTATCAGAATCTTTCTTATACCAAGTTGATGAACCAACATAATTTTATTTGTCATCTTTATCATACAGTAGGATTTTAAAAATATGTTTTAAAGGATCACTAATATAATGAACAGGTATTATGTATTTATGCTTATTTTATAGAATTTAGAAAATTTGCCAAGGCCATTTTTAATCTTTTATTTATCTGTCAGGCTTATCTTGTTTTACTCCATTTTTATAATTATCTTGATCAAATCTTAGACTTATCAGATGGATTTAATGGTCAAGAATGCAATAATCAACCCTAATATTGTTCCTAAGAGGAAACAGGGGCTTTATTATATATCATTTCCAGGAATGTACTGTAATAAAAACCAAGTTGTCTGTTTTTTGTCTAACTTTTCAACTAAACTGTAAACTCTTGAAGGCTAAGTTTTATCCTTGTTTCACGATATTGTGCAAAGCATTTACCCTGGTGCTTTACACATAGTGGAAATAACTCATATTCATGGCATACAATTTTCAGAGTTAAAAAGGGACCGAGAGATCATCTAGTCCAACCCCTCTGTGCAAGGGACCAAAAGTCAGATCTTTTGAATCCCATACCAAGTGTGGTTAAATAGTTTGCTTGTTAACTACTTCTAATAAATGTTGGGAATAAGTAGCTAATTTCCAAATGCTGCTAATTTATAGCTTAGGATAATGCATGCCAAATTATCTTTTATTATCTTCAACAATTAAAGGTATAGTTTACAACAAGCCTTTGATGAAAAATGTAAATTATCTCCTATCCTGTGCTTTTTCTTTCTTTATTCATTTCTTCCTTCACTCCTTCCTTGCACCTGTATGGTCTTCCTAATCACATGTGTGCATGACCTTTCCCCAGTTTTCTTTGTTTCTTTCCCTCCTACCCTCATAGGTTTCAGGTGGCTTTTTTTGTTGTTGCTATTTTCAAATTTCCTAAACTAACCGTATTGTTTCAGGTACTCAAT